GGCCTCCCTTCCCTTTCTCCACTCATCACGATTTAACTCCGCTACAGTCCAAGATCTCATATAAGCATCTAACTCGTCTAATCTAAGATCTCCTTGTGAGTCTTCCACGTCCCCCCTGTCTTGCCTTTAGTAATTTATCAAATAGATATGTATTTCATTTCTGTTTTAAATAATTCTCTCTGGACGTGAACAAATTTCTTCGTTTGTGAATGAGTCGCCTCCCTCAGATAAAAATTGAAAAGTATTTATCGACTTCTTTGTCAGCCTGCACAGAGTCATGTCTTCCTGGTTTTGTCAAAAGATACAAATCACTTTGTGCTATACTTGCAAAATTTGAGAATACATAGACGTAATCTTCTCGCAAACTGTTACAGTATATTTTTTCCCTAACAAACATGTACCTACTGTTAAAACCACTTTATACAGACATATCGAAATTTCACTAAATGTAAAAGTATCTACAACAACGAATCCTAGGAAGTAAAGGCTTCAGAGCCTTTTGAAATCGGAAGTTCTTGTGTCAAAGCATTGGGTACTTGGCCTCGTTCTCAGCACTAATTGCACAAGTATGCAGCCAACAGACATACTCTGGTTAGAAAAGAAACTTTACCAAGGATAACACGACAATGGAATGGTCTTTCAACTTTTAAAAGAATTTGTAAGGATATCAAGCAATTTACGAGATCTTTATTTATTTATGTATTGTAACGTCCAAAACCAAACATAAATTCGATAAAAATAAACATAATAATACAAAGATCGAACACTTAGAAAAAATTCCTTTGATCCGGCTGGATTCCAACCGATGTCTTCCCGCAAAAACTATAACAAATAATCCACGGAACGAACTAGCGGACCTTACAACTCTTCTGTGCTTGTTGCAGGTCTTTGTATTTGGTTCTAAACGACTTTTTACCGTAGCGTCATCGTTTCCCACAGAAGACGTTGGTTCTAATCCAGCCGGATCGAAAGATTTTTTTTCTCAGTGTTCAATAATTGTGACAAACTAGTGGAGTAATTTCACAAAAAGTCAACAGATTCCAAGAATAAATAAAACAAATATAATTCGACTCTCGACAAGTTTCAAGTTTTATACTTTTTTGGTTAATTTCACGACTCAATTTAGAATTTTTATTACTTCGACGGAAAATTCTGTAAATGGCAAACCCAGCAGTATAAAATCCGTGAACATACACTATCTGCGAGATAGCCACTGCATAATTCAGAAACCATTAGACCAGTCGCTTACTGCGCACTCTAAACACAACTCCCGTACTCTATCTTCAACTTTATCACACATGTGCTACGGTTCACGTTCCTTTAAACACGTGCAGGATAAAACTGCTATAATTTTCGCGCAAGTTTTAGCTCTATCTTTGGAACGTAAAGGTTGAGATTTGTTTGGGGTGAATATAAATGCATTTTTGCAATAGCTTTAAATGGAATTTCGCGTGTTAAAGCAATTATGGTTAAGCATTACAGGGATTAAAGTTATAGTGGTAAAAGCAAGCCGATTTTAAATACAAGAATCTGTTTCTCGTATACAGCTATGTCGAAAGGGTTAAGGTTGGAATTTGTTATATTTTTGTTATAATTATTAATACAAAGAAAGAATTAATAGAAAAAAAGAAAAGAAAAATTCCTTCGATCCGGTCGGATTCGAACCGACATCTTCTTGCATACCGTGCCAGACGCTATACCAACTAAGCCACGGGACGAACTAGCGGACCTCACGAATCTTTCTGTGTGTTTGTTGTAGTGTCTTTTGTATTTGGTTTTTTCGACGACTTTTTAGCCGTAGCGCCATCTATGAGATATCTTATGTATTTCGTCACCCAGTTAGATACCTTTACAGCTACCAGACCGGCTAGAGATGTCACTATACATTGTGTTTACATTTTTATTGAATTGATATTCAATTTTTTTTTATGTGAAATTACTCCACTAGTTTGTTATAATTATGAATACGAAGATGAAGACTTAGAAAAAATTCACTTCGATCCGGTTGGATTCGAACCAACAACGTCTTCTAGCAAACCGTGTCGGCGCTATGCCTACTAAGCCACGGAACGAATCAACGGACTGTTTTGGTTTTTAACGACTTTTTATTAAACCATGTCTTTTGCAAAGGGACACGCGGGGTCAAGGTCAAACGTCATATGGAATCACTATCGACCTAGTAACAATACCTAATAAGTTTTAGTTCTCCAGCTCTTAACAGTAATGATATATTTCAAAATACGTTTTCGTTTTCATATATTTCAAACGTTTAAGGTTTTACTTTTAGTGGCGATGAGCGGTGAAATAGGTTTTATTAAATTGTTTGGCTTCATGTCAATTTCAGTTATATTTTACAGGTTGCAGGAAGAAAAACAGCAATTATTATTTTAAATTCCTATGTAAGGGAAGGTTTCAATTCCAACCAGTGTGCACCGCGTTACCGCGTTGATTTGAATGGACAAGCTCGCGCCACGGGGCGAGCTCGGGTGGCCCCACGCTGAAGCCGAAGTGGAAAGCCAACATAAGAGCGACGCCACACGGGCCCTGTCAATGTCGCAACGCTTAACGCATCGAGTGCCATACGAGCAATGCGGTGTCGCAATGCAACGTAAGCGCTCGGTTACTAGTGGAGAAAGGTTTCGCGCGGCAGTGTACATTAATGGCGAATGTGAATTTTATTTACAATGCAACATTTAAATTCCTCTGAACAATACAACCGCGCCACCGCTGTCCGGCCGCCGCGTAGATCAAATTCAAGCCAGACTCGCCCGCGTGACCGGTACGCTCATTAGAGCTAAAACGTAAAAGCTAAGTAAATAGAGCGTATTTTGCCATGACAATTGAACGCACGCGGTCACTGCGCGGCGGCAACGCGGACTCCGCTCGGCGACCGCGTGGCGACCGCACAGGGTGAGCGCGGTGAAATTCGTGTTGAATAAATGCGCCCTGACGCTGCTTACTTATTAGCCACCGCAACACCCCTCTCCACTTGGTCTCCTGGCCCCTAGTCCGAGTGCACGTGTTCAGTAGTCGCGCTATTCCAACGAACCATGTGGCGTGTAAGGGCGCGTTCCCATTATGTCGTGACGACAGACTTTTTTGACGTCACGACGACAGACTGTCGTGACAATGGGAAGAGCTAGAACGACAATCATCTGACGATAATAGCTTCTGCGCTAATTTTGTTTCCCAAATTACCTGTTACACAAACGTGAGACCGTAGCTCCTGTCAGGGAGGTTCTGGCTGAAAATCAGTGCTGTGCAAACTATAGTAATAATAATAATAAATATGTTTATTTCTCACCACAAAATACAACACAATATAAATCTTTGTAGATACGTTACGGTAGTATATTGTGAGAGCTGGTGCTTGATGTAGGTATTTCACCTGTATTACAAGTCACCGGGCCCAGTAAATAATAAGGAGTAAGTGAGTAGACGATTTAATTTGTTGAAATACGTAAAACCATAAAATAAAAACTAAGACTAGACAGTACTTATTATTAGCGTGCGAAGTAGATGCATGTGCGTGTGAGTGGGTCTGTGTGGTGTGTGTTGTTTGTGTGAATTGTGGGCGTGGTGTTTGAATGTATGCCTATATAATGTGTATGTATATATATTAAAAAAAAAAATAATGTGAACCAAACTGCAAAACTTAATTTACAATTTAAATGAAGCATTCAGATGAAGCGTATAGCTTCCGTGTCTTCATAGCAAATGTCCTCATAACTAAGTTTGCACAGCATATACCGAGCTCGGAATCCTCGCTGCACACCTGTGACCGTAGATATAGTTTTGTGTTTTTAGTTACTATTAATAGGTATGTTAGAATTTTCATTTGTACGTTTAATGTTATTTTTGTGTGGGTGTGGTAAATAAATGGAATTTGGAATTTGAATTTGGATAAATAAATCGTCACGACAAGAATGTGACGACAATTAATCGCAGCTTCAAACGATTATATCGTGCAAACTACAAGGCGGCTGCCGTGAACCGATAAATTGTCGTCACGATCTAACGGGAACAGCTAGACACGGCAGTCGTTCAATGACAAAATAAACGTTCACAACATTCGTCCATGACACAGTCACGACAGATAGTCGTGATATGGGAACAGACTAGACGCGACAGTCGTCCAACAATAAATAAAAGGTTACATAATGGGATCGCGCCCCAATAATATTCCCAATCAACCAATCCAATAATTTCCGTACGTGAGAAGCGTTACGCAGTAAGTGCTGTTTTTGTAATTTTACAGGGGACGCGATTTTGTGTACGGATTTATTATGTAATACAACGCAGCGTCAGCGCTCGGACAACGCATAGTGTGGCACTGCTTTAAAGCTCGGTATGGGTCATAATATAATTTAATACACTCTGAATACAGATGTAGAATAAGTTCATAGTGAACTACTTTTGTTTGAGTCATTATTTTGAAAAGCAGCCATGTATAACTCTAACTAAATGTAAAACAGATGATTTTTAGGGTTTTCGTCTCCGGCTCTTTCACAGTTACCACAATTTCAACATTTTCCTACGAAATTCGACTAGATTAAGGATAATACTAAATGCAATAGCCATGTTTACACTGAATATTATTCAACAGAAGTTTCAAATCACCTAGAAATAACATAAAAATGACCAGTAACTAATTATTTGTAAAACTGTGTCATCCCTATTGACATTTTGATATGAAGGGAGAGATTGCAAACATTCGAGTTCTGGTGGTAATTCAAGTTCAGAATCGGAAATAGATGCTGGATGATATAATATGTGGTAAATTAATACCAAATAAAATCTTACAATTTTGTTTCTTTTTATCTACCATTACCTACCATCGAGAAATAAATAATAATAGGATGCAAAAACTTTTTTTTATTCCTAAATACGTATCAATAAGTATTTTGTAAATTTTATAATAATTGGCTAGGTAAGTATTACTTCTACATAACCCAATTACATACTTACCTATTTAAATTCCAATTAAGGGAGCAGGTCGTGGGCAGAGCAAGCCTTAATAAAGTGCATCGAAAAAAATGTTCTTTTCCTATGTCATCGTTGGTTGCCAAGCAACGTTTTGTTATTAAACATTCTACATCGAATTTGGCTATAATATAATCTCGTTACAAGTGTACATTATTTTGGTCAGCGTGTTATTTTGATAAATGCCTTCACTGGTATTCAAACCGATCACCTCTCAATCAACTATCCTCCCATTGGTTTACCATCGTTCCTTTTATATTAAACAATTGATTAACTTAATTAGATGCCAGTAACGAAGGGTTCCACCCTTTGTCACTGTTCTATAGAGTACTATTCCCATTGACATTGCCTAAGAAATTTATACTCCTATTTAGTGGTAAGTATTGAATAGAAAAGGTCTCGCATAGAACCATTTGCTGCGTACTTTCTACACGGGCGTGCTTTCTGGGCATATCCAATCTTCGTCACTATTCATCTTCCGAATTGCAACTTCGATGTTTGCCTCGAACGTGCTGTACAGAGAGCCAAAACTAAACAAAAAGATAAACAAATTTTTTTTTAAATGAAATGAATGAACAAAAATTTTATTCATATTGTTACTTATACAGTAAGTATTAAAAAAAAATGAGCATCCAATTAATTCGACAGGATATCGTCCTGTTTGAATTTGAGTAGAAGTAAACAAGAAAATTAATATTTTTTTATTAAATGTTATATTTATTATTAAACGTTATATTTTTCCGATTATCCTTCATTTGGGCTTAAGCTCTCAGTCCATAAAGCAAATATTTTAGATCCGAAAAAACGTTATTAATATCTAATACCTTTCCAGAAACGCAATATCATGAAATGATCGAATTAATTATTTTCAAAATGGAAACACGCTAACAGATCCGCCCAATAGCAATACATGTAAATATGTATTCTTAGTGGCAGTAGATCTCCTTGTGAAAGAGGTCGTCCAGGGAAGTACTGCCACCGTACCTATTTCTGCCGCCAAGCAGTAATGTCAGCATTACTGCGTCCCGGTTTTAAAGAGTAAGGGTGCAAGTGTAATTACATGCACATGGGACTAATCAGTTCATATCTTAGGGTGATGGGCGCAGTGGAAGTGTCCCTCAGTTCTTTGTGATTTAAGCTCACGGACAGGCGTATCGCTCACCACCAGGCACACAACTTGTTCGTCCCGTCAATTGGTGCCATAAAAAAAATTAAAGGACGAAAAGACATTCGAGTACCTTCCATCCAATAAACGGCTTGTTCTTTGTCTTCTACTTCTTCCTTCATGCTTTCAACTGTCGAAGGTTGAGTAGGAACTTCCCAACCCACTAAAACCTGGAAAATGCTAGTTTGCAGCTGCGTTTCTAAATATTGTATGAAAAATAGTGACGCGGCTGCAGCGCCACAGGCGCGCCACTGCGACTCAAGTGTCGTCGTAGTGGCGCGCGACATATTTCCTACGTTTTCTTTTCTCTACCTTTTGTTCGCTCCACTAGTATCTGGAGGTTTACCGTGAAATACGAAATACGAAGCTACGAACATCGTTTTAGCTTCATATCAAACCGGAGGCTACCACGAAACGCGTACGAAGATCGTGATTTGACGTAAGTTCTTACTCCGAAACGTAAAATGACAGCTTTCGTAATGAATTTGGAATTACTTTCATCGTAAACTGACATATGTAGTACGAATGAGCTTCGTTGCAGACGCAGTCACGTAGTATCCTATTTCGTGGTAGACATCCAGTTTCATCATCATCTAACGCGATTGTCAAGGCCAAAAATACGAACTTGCTAAAAGTGCGTTGAATTGTCAGAAGGAATTTGTTGTTAATCTTGTTATTTTTTTGCACTGTAAAGGAGGTTTTCCACCGGCGAGGCGAGACGAGAATTGAAATCGCTTCGGCAATATCTACTACATAATACCTCGTGCAAGCTCGCGCTGTGATTGTGGATAGTGAAGATTCAGCGCTGTTCATCTAGGGATAAATACGCGGTAGAAGTAATATGTCCCGTAAATTATTATTATTAAATATGTTAACGGAAGAAGAATCAGATGAAACCATATTTAAAAAAAATCCCAAATCGTACACACCATCCGAGCTCGTGCGTGACCATTCGGGCACTGGTCAGCTTGCGCGAGAAATCGTGTTTCCGTTGCAGAGTATAATACTTTATGTGGGCAACAATACTGTCCAATATTAAATCAACAAATATTTCAATTCTCATCTCACCCGTCCTCGTCAATCCAGTCTGTTTCCACCGAAGACGGGCTAGGAGAGAATTGAAATTTTGTCATACAAATTTTAATCCTCGTCTCGCCTGTAAAAACTACTTTAATTAAGGCACTTCACACGGTTATTTGTATTTGCGTATTTCGTATATTTGGCAAGCAAGTACCATGTGTAGATAAGATACAGCGAATACAAATATCCATGTAAGGTACTAAATCCACCCAAATAAAGTCCCGCTACTGATTATGAGTCTCTGTAACGAGGTGTCCGATCGTAAGGTAGTAAGAGTTTACAATCTTGGCGTGTTCACTTACCGGTGTCACCATTAACCTTTGGATATCAGGTCGACCTTGTAAATATTTGAAAAAATCTATACATTTCATTTCCGTTTCTTCATTGTCGTCTTGTTCTAAAACAAGTAACACGCAACAAAAAACAAAATTGTGGTAAATTAATGTATCAAATCAAGGTAGAATCATAAACAAAACTTTAACACAAAAATTCGCTTTTCCGTAAAAGGTTTATGTATTGAAAATAAATTCATTGACATTTCTAAATTCTCTTGATCTAATTCAAATTTGGCCTTCCAAACAAACCAACATTTCGGGCCCATCACAGGCCCCATGATCACGACTGAGATGGTAAAGTCACCAGTTATGTCTAATATTTGTGGTTTGCATGTTATGTATGATACATCCACACCGATAGCCGACCGTGTTCACCTACTAGGAATGGACCTGTCGTCAAATATGAACTTCGGCCGATACATTCAATCCATGGCCAAAAATGCAGTAAGGAAGCTTAGCAACCTTTCCAGGATGAGGCGTTACTTTACACCGGGACAGTTGCTTCAGCTGTATCAAAAGCACAAGTCCGATCGTGTATGGAGTACTGCTGCCTCCTTTGGGATGGTTCTGCTACATACGAACTGGTCACATTGGATTCAATTGACTAACGTGACAAGAGGCTTATAAGGTGACTCGGAATTAGTAGAGGCGTAGCTGCATAGCCTTGAACACCGCCGTAAAGTTGCCTGCTTATCGGTATTTTACAGGATATATCACAGAGAGTGTGCAATGGAATTACACGATTAATTTCTGCCTTCACTCATCGTCACTTTCCATCAGGTGAGATGGAGGTCAAATGCGCACTTACATTTGTATAAAAAAAGGTATGTATAGTGTAGTAGTTCAACAACTTAGTCATGATCATGGGACTTGGAAAAAGCACTAAATATTTATTTAAAAAAATTTATAGGCGAGTTAGATCGTGGAAAAAATAGTTTTATTTTCAAAATGTTGCAATAACAAATTCCTTAAAATGTCGTCATGTCAGAGTACAAAATACTTTAAATACCTGACGGAGAAAAGTCAATTCTCAAATGCTGAGGCCGCATCGGTTCTCCGCATTCGTAATTTCTGTAGCTTGACGACGGTCTTTTGTTTTCAATCTCAGAAGGTCTGTTCAAGTCAACTGGAATCTCGTTTGCCAATGATTCGAAATTTGTTGCGTTAGGACAGCCTGTAAAGTAAGTAAAGATATAGTACTCACCAGGTAGTACAAAAGCTTGTACTTCACGAAGTCTAGCTAGCGTACGGCTGTAACGCTACTACAGTGCTTTGGGAACGTCATTCGCAATACACATTCATGTAGATTCAGAGCCGCAGAAGATACAGCGTAGAAATCACACGGCTATAAAATCTTGCCGATTGCTTCAATGAGAGAACCACAAAACTCTTCCAAGCTGCACCTTTACAAAAGTGGAAGTGGTTACAATGATAGCCGACAGTCGGTAGGGGGTGAAAGAAGACGAAGAAATACATCTGTAAATGAGTAGGAACAAGTCTTCAAAGATGTGAGACGTCGTCAAGCTGCATTGCGTCAGAGTTGCGACAAGCTGCAGCGGCCTAAACAGCTTCTTAGAGGACAAAGTGACCCAGCTCTGGGAAGTTGTCGAAAGGGATGGTGATAACGATGATTCGATGAACAAATGTTAGACAATCTGTTCTCATATTATTAAAAAGGATGGACGTAGATGGTAGAGTGAAATACGTTGATTTAAAGATTAAACTTGTCTCTTTAAATCAACGTAAGTAAATAATACAATATAAAATAAAATGTAAACTTAAATGCTAACCAAGCAATACGCACCACATGTTGCAGTTAGACTATAAATATAGTCTATCCATACTACACTGTATAGTGAAAAGACCTTTGAAACTTGTACTTGCAGAAAGCAACAATTATGGTTCTACCACCGAGCTATCTGATGCAGCATGAAAATAAAACAATCTTTATTTCCATAAGTAAGGAAATTTCACTTGCAATCTTCATTATTAATTTAACTTTACTGCTCATTCATAAGGCAGATTCTCCTGAGATGAATTATCAAGAAACTCTAGGGATGCTCTTTGTAAACAAATATTTGTACACATTTATCATTTACAACACTTATTTAAAACATTATAGATCGAGACAACCTGCAAGAGCTAAACAGGCCACTACCACGGATTTGTAACATCCAAGTAAGCTAAAGCCGTATATTAAATAACCTTTAAGTTTTTGTTTTACTATAGTTTTAAACCTTGTTCTGATTTGCAGAATTCAAACGCGGTCGTGTGAATCTCAGTTATGTATTTCGTGATGGTCGCCCGTCCACTGCTGTGAACAACAAAACACATCGATGCTGTGCGCCGTATGATCAAAAAAGACAGGCATGTGACATACCATGACATTCGGGCATCTTTGGGCATAGGCATGAGTCAAATACAATCAATACCATACAAACATTTGGGTGTGAAAAAGCTGTGCTCTCGGTGGATCCCACACAATTTGACTGAGGCACAAAAAACGAATCGCGTCACTTGGTGCAATGCCATGCTTACCAGATTCAACGAAGGGGCGTCAAATTTGGTGTGGGACATAGTAGCAGGTGACGAAACACGGATGTATAGTTACGATCGACACGTGGCACTGTTGCTTTGGAGAATCGTTGTGCCGTGAATAGTGATACATGACCGTTGGTACATGACCATTTGTTTGCCGGAAGTTATTGACAAACTCCGTAAAAATAATCGTAAATGCCGTATCATCTTCATCATCAGACAGACAAATGAATTTTTGAAGGTGAAAACGTTGACCTTATGAGCCATCCCGCGTACAGTCCCGACCTGGCACCTTGTGACTTTTATTTACTTTAAAAAATTAAGAACCAGTTACGCGGTCAACGATTTTCATCACCTAAAGAAGTTGACGAAGAGCAAGAAAAATATGTTTTAGAGATTGTCACGGAGGAGTGGCATAAATGTTTTCAAAAAGATTCATTCGGATTCACAACGGAGAATATTTTGAGAAACAAATTCATTTCTGACCATTTATAGTATTTTTTTCTTATTCATTCCGGAAACTTATAGTGCGCCCCACATAAATGGCAAATTTTGAACATCATCAACTGGAATCTTATTATAGAAACGTATACATTGCTCGTTAAATGACTTACCAACAGATGCTGTAGTCCGTTCACTGATATTTTTGTCAGTAGATGGAGAATTGCGTATGGGCACATTCAAATACAGTGTTGACGGCTGTGGAGCTGCTGGCAAGGACTCTTCCAAATCGTACATTGCTGTAAGTGGTTTGCAATTTGGAAGTAACAAACTAAGACAAGAATGTATATCTTAAACGGAATTAAATATTAAAGAGAAAGTTGTTGATTCGTGGAAAATATCAACAAAAGTATGATGATGATCCAAAAATACAAATATTTTGTAAATAATTCGTTTTATACTTTGACGGTTCTTTTGTCAAAGAGAGATTAGAAAAAACTTCCTTTATTTTTTTTCATCCTCTAAAGAAAAAACACGGAAAATACGAAAAGGACGTGACGTGTTTTTTCCTTTTATAATTTGTTTATATCTTGCCTCTAGGTTTTTATGTTTGAATCTTTTTTCAAAGCTCGCCTCGATATATTATTATTTCATTTCATACCTAGATTTTCAAGTCCGTAAAAATACAGTTTGTCACGTCATAGGATTGCCGTACTACACATATAAGTGACATGAATATATCAAACAATAGTAACACTTTAGAGACGCATATCAATCGAAAAAGATCAAAACACCGAACCTATTGGTTTATGTTTTTCCATCCTTTAAGCACCGACCTGTAGAGGGAGAATTGGGTAGAGGGGCTCTATAAATAATAAAAACCGTAAACGTAAACGAGAAAACAATATTGTTTTTTGTCCCTTTCTACGTATACCGTTTTGATTGTATGACTCAACACTCGTTGAGTCCAGCACATCCTTCCGAGTGTTTGATGTGCATCGATTTTATGTGATTGTGCTTTTAAAAAGTGTTTTACAACGTTACTAACCGTTCCTTTGTAGTAATTGACAATTATTGCAGCTCACAATAATGGCGCATTGTTATATTTTAGGCTGTAAAAGCCGTACGGAACGAAAAATACCCAACATAACCTTTCACACGTAATTTTTAATTTTTCATAACAATCAATGAATTTTCTTGTATGAATTACTAGTGAATTACTCTTACAAGCTTGAAATATTACGATTTCAAGTATTTTAGATGATATTTGAAGTGTTTTTCTTGATTGAAAGATTTTTGTTTGCATCGTATAAACCTCCTAAAATAAGGAGAATATCTTACTTTTGTCAAATATGTCCATCTCGCTTCTACCAGCAGTGGTTATGATACGCGAGAAAGAGAGATCAAATAAATTAGACAGGCTTAAGCTGATTTTAGGGATACCGTGCTTTTGCCACTATATCATGAACCCATTTATACGTCCCACTGCTGGGCACGGGTCTCCCCTCAGGCGAGTGCTTAGGCGACAGACCACCACACTGGCCCAATGAGGGTTGGGGACTACACACGTTTTCCGAGGACTTTGAACCTTCTTCAACGTTTCATCACGATGTTTTCCTTCACCGAAAAGCTGAGCATGATAAATTTCAAATTAAATTTCGCACAAATTCCGAGAAACTCAGAGGTGCGAGTCTGGATTCGAACCCACGACTCTCTGCTTGAGAGGCAGTAGGTCAAACCATTAGGCTACCACGGCTTCATTTTCATTTCAATTTCTTTAACGAGGTAAAATTTTAAAAGTAGACAACCCAGAATTTATAGGTACTCTGTTGGTATCCCTTTTCAGTAAGGGTTCAACCATCCTCTTAGGGTTTAACAGCTTGGGACATAGTTTTTTATCCAATCTTATTAGATATTGTAATAATGTAATAATGGACTCGTAATGAAGAAGTTTACAGACCTGCAAAAGACGATTAGATCGATTTTTTAAATAATTCCGATAATTGTATGTCTCCCATTTGAAGCACAGACATTGCCATGTACAATTATTGTGTTGTCAGTCATTTATATGTTCGAACGATAATTTTGAAGGGTACAAGTGATTACTAAATTCTAATTTTTTTTAATGAATTCACTGTAATTTTATATTCAACTATATGTTATGATAGTACTTGAGGCACATGTTTTAGGCCAAGTTTTGAGGAAGAATAAACTGATTCTTTCATTATTAACTCATAACATATTAGCATATTCAATAAAATTAAAAAAAAATAATGAAACAACATTTTTGTAATGTTGTAGTTAAAGGAAGGTTAGGAAATAAGAAGCTGTTCAATTGTTTTGCTTGAGTAGAAGCCACCCTCTTTAACTTATTCTTGAAGCTTACCTCTAGTATCATACTATACACTGGTGTTCCAATTATAGTTCAGAACCAATGTAAATACTAAAAGAAAGATTAACCGGGTCGGCAATAAATGGAGCATACCCGTGACGTCATGCATGAGGGTTAAACGCAGAAAAAATGTACCTTTTTAAATTTTTTGCATGTCCCTTTACTTAAAACTTCTTTGTAAAATTTAGTTTTGAAAATACACTAGAAACTTTTTCTTTTCAGACACGTTAATTCTTTCCACCTTAGACTATGGAAACTAGCTTTCCACCCATGAAATATTTAATTTTTGGGTAAAATTCTTTGTTTTTTTTCCATTCTCTAAGGTAAAATTATACAATATATTCAGTACTTTCAATGTAAAAAGAAAGAGGTTGAAATACCCTTCATACTTTTTTAAAATGTCTACCGTGAATGTTGTATCCATGTTGTATCCATTGCAATTGATAACTTATGTTTATAAGCAATTATACTGCCAAAGTTTGGCTGTGATTATCCTTAAAGATATGTATATAAAAAACGACTTTCTGAAAGCTGCTTCGATTTATTTTTATAATTTACATGTACATAATATTTTCATTTATTGTCCTAAATAAATCAATTTCGTTAATGAGTGTTAGTTACAAAGCTTTTAAAAATAATTGCTGCATTTCTGAACGCTATACTATTTTTTTTTAATTGGTAAGACTCTTTGAACCCTGTTTTAATGTTTGTCGTCAACTGCCACTTTGTTACGGCGAAGAAATAGGACGTTTGAGTTGGGTAAGTATTTTGTATATTTTTTAATCAGGTGATTAACGACTGTTTTATTTAGAAAGTGGGTTTCTGAATATTAATTTATTATCAAAGACTACTGATACATACATACATTATTCCTAAATTTATTGAGATTTCAATCCAAACATAAATGTTGGGGTTTTAAAAAAAATTGACGTAAGCAACTGAGAAAATATAAAGTTGCATATACATTAATTATAATGACAAACAAACTGATACATGCATAAAATTAATAAAAAAAGTATTTATCTAAAACTAGTTTTGTTTACAGAAATGGCACCCATGACGAATACAGAAAGGCAAAAAAAAATCATGAACTCTAGAAAAATGATCCCGTTAAATGTGAAGTTTGAGAAAAAAAAATTACATAGAGTTAAATCAAATGAGAAGAAAATAAAGTATCTAAGCAATACTCAAAAAAGTAAAGTAAATTAAGTTAAGTGGATCTAGTGAAGCAAAAGGAAAAGAAAATCAAGTAAAGGTAAATAAACACGTTACTTAAAGGAAAAACAAATGAAAAAAGTATAAAAATGCAACAAGACATAAATATGGAGTGTGACAATAAAACAAAAGGAAGAAGAAGCAGTACCGAAAAGAAAAGAAAACAAAGCAAGACCGCAAGTTTAATTTTGAGATTGTAAGGCGCTAAGAAGGTTTATTTTTAAATATTTTTATTTTGTTGTAGTGTATTTAATGGTCATTTGAAAGTTCATAATTATTCAAGTAAAATTTCCCTCGCAAGATGTATGTGCACTGTGGTATGTAAATTTTATGTTGATGTAATGAATAATGTGATTTCTGTAGAGCGGAAATTCGTTAAGTTATAAAGAAAAATAAATATTTTGGTAAATATGTTATGACATTTTACTTACTCAAATTTAAATACACGAGAAGCCAGATAAAGATATTAGTCTAGTGACTTTGACATGTGTTCGCAACTTTATGTATCAGTTGAGTTACATTTTTTCGTTTTGGTTCATTTTCTGCGTTTGACCCATGAATCTCACAACGGACATTATTTACGGACCTCAAATTTGTACATACTTTAACTTTTTGATTTGAAAATATTTATTGAGTTTCTTTGATATGTTATCAAAACTATTTTGTCAACGTTCTTTGAAAAAATTATCTTTGTTTAGAGGAGGAAAAAAAACTCGACAACCTCCTAAGTTGTCGTTTTTTAAATTCTTTCCGTTAAGGAAAAGGCAAAGGTTACTACCTTACATACAGCCATACAAAGTCTAGGTAATTTTTTCTTTCTCAGTTTTGGTCTATGTAGGCCAAGTCTTTGGAACTTACACGTTTTACTTAAGCACATGAGTTTATAAAAGCTTGGCAATGAGTAATGCCAAGGCATGCTAAAGCTAGAAGGATGGAAATAAATAAAGGAAAAAGTTTGTTAAGTGTCGTCTGTCAATATATCTTTATAAAAAAAGTATGTTTATACCAGTATTTCTGAGGAGACCATAGATTTAGTATATGGATATATATATCTTATGTATACTAAATTTATGGAGAAGACAGATCAAGAAACTTGAGTTACTTATTTCGATTGAGCCATAGCATTTAAAAGAAGAAGAAGAGAAGAAGTTAAATTTGAACCTTCCCCGAAACCAACTTCGACTAAAACGAATGGATGATTCTAAACAGGCTAACTATAAATTCAAAGGCTTTTCTTCCACGACTGAGAGTATCAAGTCAGAGCATAAGGACGTCGGTGCCAATGAAAATAACAAAATAGACAAAGAAGAAACCACATTCAGCATCTTCAATGAGGGAGCATGTGGAGAACCCTGTAGGACACAGCACTTAATCATAGACTTTACTCCAACAGAACAAGATGAATGTGATGTTCTTTTGAAGAAATGTTGTGATTTCTTTGATTATATTAATAGTCGAAATGAGTTAGTGCAGATGAAGGTTAAACCGGTTTGTATAAATAACTTTTTGCGAGTTTTTAAGGCCCTGAAGCAAAACGAGGAGAATTATGAGTTTTAATTATGGTATCACATGACATGGCAGAGCCACTCAGAGCTTTAAATCGCCAAGATCTAAGAGGTACTGTCACTGACATAAGTTGACAAGTTTATGAGTCTGTAATTTCACCCTTACCCTATGAACTATTTCACAAGATGACTATCGCTACTAAAGTTTGAAGCTTTGTTTGTATGTCTGTCCGTAGCGTCCTAACTCCCAACCCAAACGGATGGGCTGACCTCAAAACGATTTTTTATTAGAAGGGATAGTTTGTAGCTATGTTTGATAAACAGCTGTTCAACTTGAGTTCTTAGGTTTTCGCCATTGTTATACCATAGGAAATGAAACTAGTATATTTGTTTTTTCAAACAAACCGACGTTTCGGGGCCTTTACTCAAGAGAAAGAGCTCTTATCCCAGTTAGTGTTGAAATCAAATAAAAATGAATATTTATTTCTACGATTCTCGTAAAATTTGGTATACTATGGAAATCCGATGACATTACAATACAATAACCCTGATCTGATGCTGTAATCAGGGCAGATTATCCAATTCCTCGACTACTTACAGTAGGACTATCGTGTTTGGGCTCTTTATATTAGTCTTGACAACTCAGAGATGATCGCTTTATTGACCCTTTGGAGTACACTATTTTGTATCGTTGATTCTTTAGATTTTAGTGGGGCTATTACGGTATATTTAAATATATTAGACTTGGAAATTGGTCAATATCAATAGGAAATAGTAGCTTTTATAGTAATGTAAAAATTTAAATGTAAATTTCCGCATAAAATGTCTTGAAAATAGAAAAGACGAGTCAGGAGAATTAGGTTTAGGTTTTTTTATTACATCAATTTGGTCAAGTCCTTAACAACTGGCTTGAATAATGAGCACTAACCCACCGTCTATCAGTCAGCCGGCCAAGCACGCATCAGGTTGGATTAAAGAAAGCCACGATAAATACTGTTTTTTCATGATATCTTGAAATTTGATTTTGGCAATATTGCCTTATATTGTATGGTATTTACATCTATTTAGTGATCTACATCTTCACCAGGATCCAGCGTTCGAGAATAAAGTAGATTTCAGTGAATCCGAGCTAACTATTTCTTCAGTATCTTCAATAGAGCAGCCTCTTCCAACCCACATTTTGGCCCGTTCAGCCGTTTCGGTGCTTGAAATGGTCGAGAAAGATGGTAAAGTATTTATTTTATAAGAAGTATAAGGAAGTTGTGTAAAGTTGTAGAAAAAATGTTCTTTTATAAAGACTACCTTATATTTGACTTCGCGATCCTAACCAGTATTCTTCATCTTCTTATCGTATCGATGGCATACACAATATGCTTGCCACCATGGTGAAAGGTACTCGCCGCGTGTTACCCAGCTTGCGCCAGATGTACCATTCCTTGGTACGTCATGCGGGAAGGCTTCTTTCGGGTAGCTCATCTAGTAGTTACAGACTATTGTATGAGATCGTGGTTGAGTGATAAATATTGATACCGTTTGATTTTACAGATTTGATCAAGCGTGCTTTCGAGGCCAAAATGCCGCAGTCGAAATGTTCTTTAGGTCTTGAAGATTACAGCGTAAATGATTATGGACTAAAGAAATTTCCCAAAGGTATCAATTCATGTACCTACGTATATAAATTTCAGCAAATTACAGCTGAATGTTTTTTAAGCCAGGTGACTTTATTTGGGTGGTGAATTATTAATAAAAATATCTAAAATCCAAGATTGATTTTCCTGTTACTTAAGTCACCTTATTATTAAATCATACGGGAGTCCACATCAAAGATCACTCTTTGACTATCCATCATTTCAGATTTTCAATTAATTTACAGCTACGTTCAAACTCATTATTAAATTCTACGCCATCTAGTGCGTTGTTTGAGATGGTATCGTGAAAGATGCTTATGAGTATTGTCCGTTGATAAAGGAGACTCGCCTTTAATACCAAACCTTGAAAATGTTATGTATGTAGGCGGCAATAGAAATGAATTAACAAGAGTTGGTGTTAACAACACGTAGAGGTTTGTGTGTGTTGGTAAATCCGTACACGGTCGTAGCGGCAATCATATTACGTAGTCACTTATAATAAATATTACTTCCTTCTCGTTCACTTACACTAGTTAGATTATGAGAAAAAGCAAGTGTTCAATTTTTCCCGTAAAAAAAGTGAAGTAGGTAAGCTGCACCATCAATTACAATAATATGTGATCATTATATCATCAATTATAATAATAACTGTGACTATTTGATATCACAAATGGTCGATATCTGTTAGCATGCCTGTGTAAATATAATAAAAAATATATCCACTTACTGGCGTCCATCGACTTCAGATAAAATCATTTTAAGTATGCCCCGATTTCAGTAACATTTAAAGTATTTTTACAAAACACCCGCTCTAACTTGAACGACGCAAAGCCGTAGGAAAACAAACGATGATGAAAAAGCCAAAGTAATTCAATTAACCGACTGTACTGTGCTTTTTTTACTTGGGTTCTTTTGTAAAATCAGGAATTCTTTAGTTATTACATGGCGAAGAGCAACTACTAATGTGTGTTGACATATAAGAGAAATTATTGGAACTCTTTGACACTCAAAGGGGTGATAATGATATTTCTAAATTATTGAAATCTAGTAAATTAGTAGCAGTAGAGCTCATTGTGAAAGAGTTTGTCCGTGGAAATACTGCTACTTTATCTATTTCTGCCGCCAAGCAGTAATGTCAGCATTACAGCGGTCCAGTTTTGTAGGGTAAGGGTGCTGGTGAAATTACAGGCACGTGGGACTTGTCAACTTATGTCACAGGGAGGCGCAGTGACAGTGCCCCTCACATCTTTGCGATTTAAATCTCTGAGTGGCACTGCAACTGTTATGGACAGGCGTGTTGCTCACCATCAGGCGCACGACTGGTTTGTCCCGTCACTTGATATTATAAAAGAAAAACAAATAAACAAATAAATAAACATTATTAAACGATGAGATGTTTGATGTTTTTACTCTAAAATTTTTGAATAGAGAAATTATTTTTTCTATTATGTCTGGAAAAAGTACTGAACCATACTGCCTTATTCATACGCTACCTTGTTTTATTTTTATATTAATTTCGCTTTCTAATAAATCTCTCGGCGGATTCAAGGAAAATATAAATATTTTCGCAACCAAGACACGCTCACGCGATTTATCGGCTTCTGGAGTTTGTTTTATGAAATCTTAATTCTCATCATAGAGTGCACTACCAGCATCTTTCGACACGTAAGCAAGTTGTTAACAAAATTTTATATTAGGCTGGTGAAGTTTTTTGTGAACTGTGTTTGATTAGGTATCTTGAATGGGACGTCACTGCTACCACCTATGTAAGACATCTGACTGGAAACGAAAACCCTACGAAAATCCTAGAAATCGCACATCTGTAGGGAGGTTGCATGTTGACCACAGCCCCGTCGTCGCTGTATCTGTGGTTTTTTTTGTAATACCTTACTTCGATAGATAATATCGGCACGCCCGACGGCTCTACCTTATTTTAAATGCTATTTCCAATATTGCAGTATGTACGTGTGATGCGACTTGTCCAAAATGCAAAAAGAAACCTTTGAAAAAAAAGAAAATGATTGCTCCATATACAGCTGACGCTATAAATCTTTGTCGAAACTTGGATAACTGGGACGAACAACATCCTAAGTATTACTCTTTGATTTTGTTTCATAACTCGTAAGATCTCACACAGCAACAAGTCTTGTTCTTTACAAGTATATAGTCTGAGCTATATATATTTACATTAAACAATAGTATATAGGTGTGCACAGAATGAAATTCCGATGAGTACAAGCACTAACGGCTAAGGCTAAAAACCTACAAGAATATTAAATAAATGTACCTAATTAAATGTTAAATGTCATTGTCTTCCTTTTATTTAAAATGCTATGTTATTTAGAAGAAAATAATTGTTATAATTGAGGATTGCAATCGGTATAGTACAATAAGAGATTTTTTTTCACTTTTGGCGGGTTCTATTCCCGGTTCAGAGAGGCAATTATTTAAAAATTTTTAAATGCAGTTCGAATTGTTTTTAAAATAAAACTGAAGGGTTCTTTCATTAAAAAAAATTCTATCTACGGTATCTAAGGTACTTTCTCTCCGAGTTTAAAATCAAAAATCAAAATCAAAGTAATCTTTTCTTCATAGACAAGCATTTTATACTTTGAAATCGTCACGTTGGTTAAACTCTTCATCTTTAGGTCTTGCTCTTTGTAAATAACATTACTATGTAGAGGGAGAATAAAAAAAAGAATAGAGAAGCTTCTCGCGTATACTGAAAAGGGATACCAACAGAGTACCTATAAATTCTGGATTGTCTACTTTTAAAATTTTGCCTCGTTAAAGAAAATGAAATGAAAATGAAGCCGTGGTTGCCTAATGGTTTGACTTACTGCCTCTCAATCAGAGGGTCGTGGGTTCGAATCCAGACTCGCACCTCTGAGTTTCTCGGAATTTGTGCGAAATTTAATTTGAAATTTATCATGAGAAAGCATCGTGATGAAACGTTGAAGAAGGTTCAAAGTTCTCGGAAAACGCGTGCAGTCCCCAACCCTCATTGGGCCAGTGTGGTGGACTGTCGCCTAAGCACTCGCCGGAGGGGAGACCCGTGCCCAGCAGTGAGACGTATAAATGGGTTCATGATAATGATGAAATCTGCCGAGTCTAAGGAGGGAGAATCCGCCAGACCACATTTAGCTTGGTTCAGTTTTAGTAACCAAATAAAACAATTATGACAAATCATTACTTTTTTATTGGCCGTTGAACAGTATTAACTTAGTATACATATTTCGAACAGAAAAAGTATTGAAAAGCGAAAAAAATAAAACATTTAAAATGACCCATAAATTGGGAAAAAGATAGAGGCAAAAGCACGGTATCCCTAAAATCAGCTTAAGCCTGTCTAATTTAATTTATACGTTATTTATTTGATCCCCCTTTCTCGCGTATCATAACCACTGCTGGTAGAAGCGAGATGGATATATTTGACAAAAGTAAGATATTCTCCTTATTTTAGGAGGTTTATACGATGCAAACAAAAATCTTTCAATCAAGAAAAACACTTCAAATATTATCTAAAATACATGAAATCGTAATATTTCAGGTTTGTAAGAGTATTTCACTAGCAATTCATACAAGAAAATTCATTGATTGTAATGAAAAATTAAAACTTACGTGTGAAAGGTTATGTTGGGACTTTTTCGTTCCGTACGGCTTTTACAGCTTAAAATATAACAATGCGCCATTATTGTGAGCTGCAATAATTGTCAATTACTACAAAGGAACGGTTAGTGACTTTGTAAAACACTTCTTAAAAGCACAAACGCATAAAATCGATGCACATCAAACACTCGGAAGGATTTGCTGGACTCAACGAGTGTTGAGTCATACAATCAAAACCGTATACGTAGAAAGGGACAAAAAATAATATTGTTTTCTCGTTTGCTCTGATATGTCTGTGCATAAATCTATCTCGCTTATACGGTTTTTATTATTCATAGAACCCCTCTACCCAATTCTCCCTTTACGCATTAGTACATGTTCGACATTTACAATATATATTTTTCGTTTTCAAACATCGGAGATCGAGACTATCTCCATGAGTTAAACGAGTTGCTTGGGTTTGGTTGGGAAGTTGTACAATAACCTTTAGTACAAAGTTTTGTTTTACTATAGTTTTAAACCTCGTAAATGGCAATCTTTATACATCAACCGGAATCTTGTTATAGATTCGATGTTATGGATAGAGATTAAGTGTTAGGCAATCTATAGATTGCCTTTTAAATGACTTTGTGACTTGTGAAGATGACTATTAGGAACAGTTAGTTTATTTTTATTCCTCGTATTAATGTTATGTCTGTCACTATTTTTCATAAAGAAATGACTATGAATTACATTTTCATAAATGTTGTTTGTGCCGTCAAACTACTAACATCCATTCTCTCTACAACACCAAATTATTGAAGCAGTTTGTCGACTCTTGTCACAACGTCATCTGTCATACCGCAATGCTCTCGCATATTGTTATTTACTTTATTTTGGCTAGAATGACAGAATAATGCAAAATACTGTTGGGAATTTACGCGTAACCGTGAAGGTTTTGATCATGATCGATAAGCGGGTACTACAAGTGGCTCGCGTCTTACAAACGGCGGCTACTGACTGTATCGACTAGTTTAATTTTCAATTACTTTGTATGTTTTCAGGCAGATGGAAAGCCCCGTGGGGCCTCCTTCACTTATCAACGCCGTGCTGCAACGGATTGAACCAGCTGATTAAGCGTTACGAGATTTACATATGTCTATCTATTTGGGACGCCAGTTTTCTGCCTTGTAACCTAATTTGTATTTTAATTTAGTTTCTTGTGTAGATTTCTTCATGTTAGTCTGTGCATCTATTTTATATTTTTACTTAGTTATTACTATTGCATTTAATAAATACATTATGGCGTAAATAAAGTTATAATTAAATTGATTCTTGAATTGAATGACGTTGTTACGTACATTTCTTTAAAAATATTATCTCCTAGTAGATCTAATATCAGTAAATTAACTTTATACAATTTAAGCTGTATATATACGTATTTTCTTCTCAATGAAAACAATATTACACTACAACAATCGTTATATTTATATTTACGGCATGTGCAGTAGCCGACGACTTTGAAGGAAGTCGTGTAATCGTTTTGATATTACTAGTAGTAATGGGTCTACTTGTAGTGCCGGGAAGATTTTCGTTGTCGTCGCATGCAAGGCTAGTGACAGTCTTTACGCATAAGAACTCGTAGATATCGTCGCATTTCATAGTGGTTGTGGTAGCTGGTGATTATTAATGATACCACTTATCTTGCTCTCATTTTTCACCTCGCTAAATTTGTCGTATACTGAGCTTAGCAATGTATCTGTAAATCAAAACTGGTAAAATAAATGCTATTTTTTTTTTTTTTTTGATTGAAGCCCGAAACCCACCAACCGACGTTGCGCGTAAATGCCAGCGATTATTGGTATGTGTGAGTAGTGCATACTTACCCTGTCAAATTTCGATACTGCGTGTCGCTAGAGATTCAATATTTTGATGTATATACATTTGAGGCAGTGACGTCATTATTAAAATTTTGTATTTCCAAATAATGTTCACTTACGTTCTTCGATATTTCATTGAAAATGAATTAAACGACGTAATATGGAGTTGTTCTACATCACTTACAAATGTTTAGGGCAGCATAGTACGAAGCTCGCGTGGATGTGTGTAATATTCAATCATTTTAAAAATTCTCGCTCGAAATATTGGTTGTTCCACAGGTAATTCTAAAAAAAGCAAAGTTACACTTGTTCCTTCTGGCCCTACCCAAATTTGCGTAAATAAATCGATCTGAAACAAATTTAAAATGACTCACTTTGCACAGAATTTCAGAACAAAAATAAAAAAAATATGGAGAATTTGCGCACCTCTCAATTCCTATACCTCGTAAAAAGCTTACACCAGCACATGTACAATAATAAAATTGAAGTTTGTAGATAATTTTCTGTGTAGATAATTTTCTGTAAATGTGGGTACAATGGATTTCAGAAAGTAAGCTATTTAATTTTAGAAACCGGTAGCTATTCTGAACGACGAAAGCTTGCCATTGATGCAATGTTAAATCTTTTGAAATACCATTGAAGTGTCGAGAAACACGCTGAAAGCTTTTCTGTGCTTCTCAATGGCTACCCTCGACAAGTGCTTAAACTCGTATACAAGAAGATCTCCAGTAGATCAATGGCGAATTTCGAATTAACCATCACCGAGAATATTGTTGTCTTCGAGATAAGCCGACGGTTATTTGGTACACATTCCGTAGTTTTACATTAGTAGGACGGTAAATTGCAGGGTCAGCACGACTCCGCTTTTTAAGTGGTCTTCAGCAATCTTCCACAACTTTGGGACTTCAATCAATATGGTGTTTCTAAAAACAATATTCGGAATACTGTAACACAGGGTATCCTAGTACAGGTTCCGCTCCTCACAATGGCTTAACACGTTGTCATTTCATGTATGGACTTAATATAAGATCTATATCATTGTGATTGGAAATTAATGATTATTATTATTATTCGCGATTGCCAAATGCCTGTGTTGCCAGCTCTCAAGAACGGACGATTTCAAATACACACGAATAAACATCGACTTACAATTATATGGATGTCGGGTCCGCGCTAAAAAGTGTCCGAACTTATAGGGCGTTAAAATCGTATACAGAGCGTCATTCACGCTTTAGTCTTCGTTTGTTCGACTGACAGCGAAGCAAGCAAAATTAGACAGTACTGCGATGACATTACAATTTAAATTCAACGTTTTAGCTTTTTCATATTCCTTTACATGTCACTACGTTTAAATAGGTTGACTTGGGACATTTTTTTCGTGGTTTTTGTATTAGACCCGTCGTCCATTTATTTGTAAGTCAATGCGAATAAATGATTATTTGGCTAGGACTTTGACTTTGACTTCTCCTTTAAGTACCTCTTCAATACTGGAGGTCGACAGTCAGTTTTCTATATGTTTTTTAGTCTTAGTCTTTCGTAGAATAATTGTTCCACGGTCTTACGTTTAAGGACCTTGACATTAGTGACCCTGTCAGTCCAATTGATGAAAAAAGGAAGCCGGAAAAAAACGCTTCTGCGAGCAGATTTCTGATGAGAAACAAAGCCTTTCCGAGCTAGTGAGGTGAAAAATATTTTTACACTACCGGCCTTTTCTTAATACAACTACTACGGTATGCGTGTTTAGTACTAAGCGCTAGTAATGGAATGGTAATGCTTGTATCCTGAAACACGTAAGCAGGTAGTAAACAAAATTGGTATAAGACTTAAATAAAAATTTTATTAACCTAATGTAGGTTACATATATCATTGCTGGTGAACTTCTTTTAAGTAGGAAAATACTTGTGTCAGAAGCCACCGCTCTTCAAATCCGGTACAGTTATAACTACTAAACTAGATGAAGTGCTGATCTTGTTTTATGTTGACTAATTGAAATGAAAAATTAATTATGCGCATAGGTGCAAGTGTGTGCGCGTACGCGCGCGCGTGTACGTGTGCGTGTGCACGTGCGCGTGTGCCTGGGCGTGGGCGTGGGCGTGGGCGTGGGCGTGGGCTTGGGCGTGGTGTGTGTGTGTGGGTGTGTGTATTTGAGAAGGTGATTACTTAGACTGAACTCTCGCAAAACATTTTCAACTTAATTATAATTTTTTGACTTTAACCATTTACTTGTCTCAGTACACACTCATAGGCACTTAGCGAATACACATGTAGCAGTTTATTAATTTGGTTATAAATATGAGTGGATTGTTTTTTGTATTGTCGAGACGCAAAAGTTGTTTTAATTATGTGCGGGGGCAACATTGTATTTTCTTCTTTTCTGAAGAAAAGTTGCATTAAAGCCTATATTCTTGTGCGTTCTAAGAACAACTTGAAGAATATATAATTTATGTACCGTCAACACGTCACCAATGGAGTAAATCTGCAAGGTTTTTTAACCATTAACTTCAGGATAGAACGCTGAGCTCTCTCTAACTGTATAAAGTTCGTCTTAATAGATCCACCCCAAGCTGGTATACAATATATCAGTACAGACTGTACAAGCGCTAGATATATGAATGTTAGGAGCGTTTTGAGTGCAATGTTCCTGAGTACTATGAAAATCCATATCGGTTTACTAACCCTACTGATTACAGCCTCAACTATAAGACTGGTGAGGTATTTTGTAGGAAATTGGATAAGGAATCTAGAGTGGCACTACTCATCCCTACAGAAAAATTCCAAAAATTGGCATCTTTATGAGGATGCACGGTAACTGTTTCCACCGCGTGTTTGCTGTACACTTACTGTAACAACGTTGATGTTGAAAAATGTGATTTTGTTGTGTATAGTAACAAGTAACGATAGACGTGATTTGTCTGGGCAACATTTATTTACTTAAGCAACAAAATACATAATAAGCTTTTTTACTTCACATATACTGTCCAGCAGTGGACTGCGATAGGCTGATGATGATGATGATACAATAATAAGCTGCCTCTGTGGCCGAACGGTTACCATGCCGGACTGCCACGCACATGGGAGTTGTCAACTTACGTCTCAGGGTGACAGGCGTTGTGGCAGTGCCCCTCAGACCTTTGCTATTTAAAGCTCTGAGTGGCACTGTAATTGTCATGGACAGACGTGTAGCTTACCATCAGGCGCATGACTTGTTCATCCGTTGTATGTCCCGTCACATGATGTTATAAAAAAAAAAAGTGGTTGTCGGTGTGTGCGTCCATGGCACACGCGAAACAGGGTTTATCTAGTGCGGGGCTATGTTAAGCGTGTGCGTTATTATTATTTATTTATTTATAAAGGACATCCAACAGCATACATTGCAGAACTTGAAAACTAATTTTAAAAGAAAAAACAAAAAAAATTAGTGATAATAATATTTGTAAAATTGCAGCAAAATTTCAAACTAAAAACTTAATATGATGACAAAATACAAAGGTACATATTTATTTTAATATACAGTATAACAATTATTACAAAAAATTAGATAACAGCTAAGATGGACAAATTACCCTTTTAATATGCCGCTTAAACGAAGGCTTTTTTTTTGGTTAGTATTCGCGAAAATGTAAACTGTACTGAAAGATGTTGTACGTTGTTGTAAGGCGTGAAACGATCTCGTTCTGGCCATAATTAGTACGACTTGGTGGCACGCAAAAAACTTTATGAAGTCGGTTACGAGGTTGATGATGGGGCACTACAAGACGAAACAATGATACAAGGGAAGGGCTGTCAAGGCGAGCGTTAAGAATATCGTGGAGGAAGGGCATGTCAAGAAGCTGTCTTCTATCAGAAACCTTCTATTATTATTATTACATATCACGACACCGTCTCCAACTCGATGAATAAGGTTAGAAGAATGGTACTTGAGTAAGTTTGTTATGTTAACTTGAAATTTGAAATTATAGACAAATAGTCTTTAACAATTTACTTAGCGACGTTGGAGCAAGCACACCTAACTAATGGCTATTCACTCTCGCCTTGAAAAGGCCCAACTAAGTACACCGTTCAGGGAATAAATCCATAGCCATTCGCCATATCGCCGTTCAACTAACACGAAAACAAAAACTAAACATTTCACATAGAGATACATATATTTTATTTAAGTTTAACTAATTTTGTTTATTATTACAGCAAAAACTTATTTTAATACATCAATCCATGTATTTACAAAGACATGAAAGAGATTAAAGAGATTAATAACATTAATATCGACGCGTCAACAGCATGTGCTATGGCCGACGATGATGGAGGAAGTGGTGTAGTTATATTATTACTAACAGTGGGTTTACTTGTAGTGCTGTGAAGAATTCCGTTGTCATAGCATGCAAGGCTAAAGACATTCTTTTCGCAGAAGAAATTGTAGGCCTCCTCGCATTTGACACTGGTGAGCACGTGTTTTTTATGAATGGCACCACACATCTCGGTGTCATTTGGTGGCGTCCCAAAATCATTGTACACTGAGCTTAGTTTTGTATCTGTAAAATAATACGAATTTAAAAATTGGTAGTTTATACGCTATCTCCAGGTTTTTTTTTTGTGTGTAGGATGTTGCCTGCTGTTCATTTGTTTTGGTTCGTAAACCTTACTTACTCAACCGAATTAACAATTCACCCGCAATTTTAGCTTTTTTTTTAATTTATTCAATTTCAAACAAGTTTTATAAAACACGACGACTTATATTGGGAATGAAATGTATTTTAGTAACCGTAGAGCTCGTCGGTATCGGTGGAACTTTTGGCAGACCTTGAGCTCCAATTTATTCCATAGAGAATAGTCAAGTGGGTTAAGATCAGGATTGGAGGGTGGCCATTCTTTCGCAGGGCTTGAGCCGTTTTAGCCTTATGGGCCAGTGCTGACTCTTGCTGCAAAATCCATTCTTTGTTGTGAAATAAAGTATTAGATAGGGGTTTCTAAAGTGTTACTTTGATTAACGAGAAAACATTGATTACTTGCGAGACAGGCTTAGCCTAGTGCAGGAATCAAGACCAATTCTCTGTACGCGATATACGCTGCAACAAATTGTGTTTCTAGCGTTGTATTAATTTCTTATTTATTATGTATCTACCTGCACAATTCTGCTTTAAAATAAAAATAATATTAATTTTATTCGATAATTTTTTTGCTTTCGCCTTAACACTTTGTAGGTAGAAATAATACGAATAATACCAAAATATGAAGCCCCCACAATACCATTATACTCGCCGGATTATGGGGACCCGAAACATTTTGTGCTGACGTTAGAACATCTTTACTGTTTTTGGCATAAAATTTATTGTTTTGTGGGTAGAAGTTTTCTTCGTGAAAACTTTTTCGCAGGTGAAGCGTGTTTTCGCGTCGTATCCCCTAAGCAGCCGACAACAGTTGCAAACGTCCGCGTCTTAATTTACGAAGGCGATCATTTAGGAAGTGAATTTGTTGACTGAAACACGAGAAATGTTAGTCTGCAAAGCGAGTTTCTTTTGGGTGCGACATGGGTTTCGGCGAAATCGCTTTCTGATATTAATCTGATGTGTGTTGTTGTTACAGACCGCGGGCGGCCATTCCTTTGGCGATCTTTCAGAGAATCAGTCACCTTGTAACGTTTTATTGTGTGACATACAAAGTTGCAGCGTATCCCCATAAAATTTATGTCACGGAAAATCTCCATTGGTCTTTTTCCCGCCATATGTAGCGAAATTACAGTCGCACGAAATTGTTTTGTTTCCTAATTCACGAGAAAAATAAAAGAAATAAATTTAAAAATCTACAAATAGAACACAAATATTCCAAATTCAAAATAAAAAAAGAATTAAATAGCTGCTAGTATTATTTTGTTTTATTTTTTAAAGGCAAAGTTTGTCTCAAAAGTTATGAACACACGAGGGTTACCTATCAGTAGTCTGAAATGACATTTTCCAGAAATAAGGTTCGCTCGAATTTTCATAACCTCGAAAGTAATTTTGAGAGGAAAATGTTTTTTTTTTCTTTTAAATCTAACCTAATCGTGTCAATAAAGAAAGAGTTTCAGATAATACTTCGATTTTTTTCGACTTGATTACGTATTTTTAGTCGTAACACTCATTTATTGTAAATTGAATGAAAAATTTACATACTTAATCTACTATAAAGATTTGCACTGTAAAAAACTCGAAAAAAACAGAGCTTCTAAACATTATCGGTATATTTGCGTTGTTATTGCGAAACTTTGGTTTGTTTGAAAAACAAAATGACCTTAGCGATTTAGATTTAGATATTATTTTTAAAAAATGTGGGAAAAATATTCGAATTTCCAACGTTTAGCAAACGAGAAAACCTAAAGCCGGGTACTCATTAGCGAGCTGTAACGAGGTTCTAGTGTGTACGCGTGAAACAGTCTTCACTTGCTAGAATGAGTACCTGGTTATCGTCGGCTCACTGCAAACCGTACCGCACGCATTCCGACCGCGAACCACGTACATACTATGATTTTCGGTAACACAACACGCAACGGTTACCGTTACGGCTTGTTAGTGAGTACCCGGTTTAAGAACTCGGTGTCTCATTAATATAATAATTACCTATGACTGTCAAGTGAAAAGAATACACTGTAGTGTATAACGATTCTCATGTAGGGTAAAGTTGCAGATATACAAACCATTATTTGTGTTGCAAAATGGTATGTATGCCCGTAAAAATGTACATACCTTCGTTAAGAAAGAAGATATCCGTAATATTAACCTTAGAAGTAAGTAAGGTAAACGATTCTTTTATGGGGAACTGTATACGTATTTACAATAACATTCCGGAGCATATATTAAGATTACCGTTTCCTAAGTTAAAACTTACATTAAAAGTATTTTAATTGAAAAGCCATATTACAAAATTGAAGACTACGTGTTAGATAAAGATGTATGGAAAGTGAGTCTAGATTCCACATAAATATGATTCAAAATGTATTATTCTATAGCATTTAAGTTTATTTGAAACGAGCAATTCCTAGAGTTTCTAGTTCGTTCTTTTCAGGAGGTCAGCGTAGTGAACGAGCACTACCTTAAAAATGACGTTTTCAAGTGTAAAAATTTTACCTGTGGAGTCATATAAATGATTATTTGACTTTGACATTGACTAGGTATGTACAACATACATACTCGTTCAATGAACTAATGATTACACGAAATTTAATTAATAAACAAAACATTGAGTGCTCCACACATTGACTTACAATTATATGAGCGTCGGGTCCGCGCTAAAAAGTGTTCGAACTTATAGAGCGTCATTCACGCTTTAGTCTTCGTTTGTTCGACTGACAGCGAAGCAAGCAAAAATTAGACAGTACTGCGATGACGTTACAATTTAAATTCAACGTTTTAGCTTTTTCATATTCCTTTACATGTCATTACGTTTAAATAGGTTGACTTGGGACATTTTTTTCGTGGTTTTTGTATTAGACCCGTCGTCCATTTATTTGTAAGTCAATGGCTCCACAGGTAATTTTAAAAAAGCAAAGTTACACTCGTTCCATCCGGCACTACCCAAACATGTATCAATAAATCAATCGTGAACAAATCTACTTAACACTACTTACTTTCCAAAGTGTAGAAATCTCTTGTCTTATTAGCGCGGAAACCGACCAAAGCGGGCTTTTCGCTCGACTTCATTAAGCCTTCCAAGATTTTGGCCTCTTCCTTACTATTAATGACCGCGAGGTTACCTCCTTCATCTTTGCAGATCCCATTAGCTGTTTCCCAATTGTAGGTGGATGTATGAAATTTATGGCAAGTCTTCGTGTGGTTGTTTAATATGTAATCTGAGAAAGAGTATTGATGTGAAGTAATGAAATTAAAATCAATGTTCCAGATTTTACAGCATACACATAACCATCGTCATCAGACGTTCTGTTTGGGAGGTTCAGCAGCGAATGTTTTCCAGTTGACAATAATGACGGTATTCTATTATGTAAACATCACTAGCTTCACTATTGATATTCTTTAAAATTGCAAAAAAATGTGATGCCGGCAGTGAGAGATAAGGTTTTAAACCTTCTGTACCTGCGATTGCCTTGGCTCTCTCTCATCGTCATCATCATCATATCAGCCGGAAGACGTCCACTGCTGAATATAGGCCTCCCCCAAAGATTTTCAGATTAGCGGGCCGGACGCGACATGCATCCATCGATTACCAGGTCATCCGTCCATCTATTAGGGGGTCGTCCCACTGAACGCTGAACCTGAACCTTTTTGTCACAACGGCCAGAGCTCTGTCGGTGACTTTCTTTCTTCTGCGGCTCTCTCTAGCCCACAATATTTAGTAAGTATAGAGTTGCTTTCATAATCTCCTGTTGTTTAAGTAATTTCATCATGATGGCATTGACGGCAAGGCTGCAATACTTACTACGGTCAACAGTTCCGCACTCGTTCAATGTGATTGAAGATGGACTTTCGTAGAAACAGATGAAGGGGTTTCCATCGTCTTTGGTGATATCTGTCACGGTACCTGTGGTCGTCAGTAGCTTGCAGCCTGATGTACAATCGGCCACTGGAGAAAAATCAATATCAGCTATAGTCATAGTAACAAGTGACTTTTCCAATAGTATAGTACAAGAAACGGTCGAGCTGGGTAACAAATATCATGATTTCTACACAATATTCACAGATGGTTCTAACGAAGACAAAGGTATTGGCGCTGCCTTCTTTGACCCACAGAAGCACGTATCAATGAAATTTAAACTTTGTAATAAAGCTAGTATTATGAGGGCGGAATTGTCAGCTATCACGGAAGCCATTATCTTATGCTAAGTCCGTACAGAGAGATAAGATTCTAATTGCCACAGATTCTACAAGTGGGCTCCAACACTTGTTGAAATGTAATTTAGAGAGTAGAGGTATACCAATAGCATACGAAGCCCTGAAACTGATATACGAATTAAGTATAAAAATCGAACGATCATTATGTAATGGATTCCATCACACGTAGATATATAAGGAGGAGGCGGATAAACATGCTAACGAAGCTATATCCGATGGTGTTAGCATTTGTAAGCCGACTGCTGCTGAACTTATTCCTCTAGCTAGAGATATTTGTCTAAATATTTGGGTTAAAGACTACGAGGAAATTTCACTAGCAAGAGGCATTTGGTATAGGACGATGCAACCGCGACCTCCTCGAAAGCCTTGGTTTGACGCTGTGGGTCTCTCTAGGGACTCTCTTGTTGCAGCATTTAGAATCAGATCTTATCTAGAAAAAATTTTATCACTTAATAGGTATCAAAGCCTGACCCCTCTGTGATTACTGCAAAAGAATAGAAAACCTGATCCATCTGTAAGTGGAGTGTGACCATACTAGGACTGCAACAGTACGATTTGGAGTTGAGGAAATTGGACGTAATGGAGACATAAATATTGTTCTGGGAAATCCCTTACAGAAAATAGCCAAGAAGATTTATACTTACGTCATCTATTGCATCAAATCTAAAAATGCCCCTTACTGACCACGCAATTTGAAATTCCCTATGATAAATATCATGTAGTGCAGTGTTAAAGGCCTTGTTCAAAATTAAGAAAAAAAAAGAAACAGATACGGTCGTGAGTTTCGTGCATTTGTCACTAAGTTTATTAGGTCATCGGACAGCCTAGTTATGGGCCATCCTACATTTAGTTATTTTCGTATTATCCGCTCACGCGATACACGCAGCCGTAGACGCATACCACACCTATAGGTGCCAGTGATGATTTTATACCGATTTATCGGATATCGAAGCTATAACAGGTAAAAGAACTAATAATAATTGCTATTTCGGTAACTGCTCTAGCAAACCATAAAGTTTTTAATGTCTGGGTTTGGGTCTGTCATTTAAAAAAAATAAACAACTTCAAAAATACGTCACGACAATCGTGTGTGTTATTGTTTGGGCTGGTGATTTCGGTGTTTATTTATTCTAAACATACCGTAAGTAGCGTTCTTTAAGTTTACCCTGAATATAAATGTTTATAAACTATACTTTAAGGAGTAATTTCATGGTAAAGTTAGAACCACTCAGACGGAATATTATCATATTTATCCAAGTACACCAAAAATTTCATTAGTGCTTTTTGAGTGCAGGATTTGCGGTGTATTACTGCATTTTATTTGAGATGTTTTTGTTGGTAGTACGGAGGGTATTTATTTAGCAATGCAGAATAATAATTTTTATTTATAAAAATTTGTATTTAAACTGAATCCTTTTCTAATTTGCGAAACCAAATAGCCGCCATTTTGCGGTAGGTGGTGCGCATCGCGTGCACGATTATAAATCTACACTCTGCACGTATTTATTCCATGTTTTCACTCCAAAAGTCAGCAACAATCAATTTAAATCGTCCATTGTGTATTCAAAACTTTTGAAAAAATACCGAAAAAATGTTACCAAAATAACATAAACAAACCGTTTGTATCTGCGGTGACTACTGATTTAACAGTTGTAGTCTTCATTATATCCATTATTGCATCTTTTGAAGGCGATGGTGGTTGCAGTAAGGCTATAATCGCACCTGAAAAAATATAATAATAAATATAAACATACTAACATTATAAAACGGGCGTAAATGCGAATAAACCAATTAATAGGAATCGTAGATCTTACTTTCTGGCTAAATCGCAGAGAGAGAGAGAGTGTGGACTTTAAACGTCATACTTAGATACTGTATAGAGCTGAGACATAGAAGTAGACTTGCCTTCATTCTGACACTTTTGCTGTGCAATTGCCCACTTGGCTGGTTCTTGGTGAAGCTTGAGCCACCCTTTAGCCTTATCGGAGTACGTGTAGTCGCATCGAAACCTGTCCCCATCTGATGTGGATAAATGAATGGCACAATACAATAGAATTTCATATAAAAATTAAAAAAAAAAAGAGTTTACGCTTACCGAAACAGGCAATATCGGTATCAAAGTTTAAACAGGTATGAATTTAATATAAAAAAAGAAAATTGAGCTCTATATTTAATAAATAAAATAATGTCAAGAGATAAAGGAAGATTATTTTTATTAATTTGAGAGAATGTGTAATTACAAATATTTGGGTATGTAGTTGGCAGAGACTGGGAGAGAATCAGTAACAAAAACCCGCATCGCACCGTGAAGTCACTAGCCTTTAATTCCATGCCAAAGGTGTTGAGTACACAAAGAAATTCTGGGACTCCGATTAGTCTCAGAATTTCTTTATATACTCATCTCCTTCAATGCTACGTATGTGAAGCCTGGACTATTACGGAAAATCTTCGCAGATGCATAGAGACTTTCAGGACGTGGGCTTACAAACAGGTGTTGGGGATCACCCAGAGACGTAAGTTGACAAGTCCCATTTGCCTGTAAATTACCGTTTAAAACCGGAACGCAATAATGCCCTTACTACAGAAATAGGCAAGGTGGCAGTACTTCCTTAGAGGATGCCTCTCACAATTTCAGTTTGACTAATTCTTGTTTTGTAAGAAAGTTAAGTTTGTTTAATCAAGGACTATGACAGAAATTGTGACATAAGACTGTAGTACTAATTAATATGTTTTAATTTATTCTAATATACATTATTAATTAATAATAAATTTAACTTAATAAAAATTCATATTGTTACAATAAAATAATTTGTAAAACAATGTAGCGTAAATTGGGATGTTTCTTTGTAAAATTAAAAATAATGTATTTAATTAATAACTTTTGTAACTATAGCGAAAAAATAGGGTGGTTTTCATTAATATTAGATATAACTGGTTGATGACTGTACCACCTCAGTCAACCGTGACCATGGGACCTGTAAAGGGCCCGAAACGTCTTATTATTATTATATTATTTTTAAATCCGGACAAATAGTTTCATTTCCTATGTGTAACAATCGCGAAAACCTAAGAACTCGATAGAAATTGTGAAATTTGGTTTTTAGTGATTTAGAATTTATGATGTTAATTACTAAAGATCTTTTAATTATACCACCACAATTTTATTGTTCTGCATATTTCTACATTTTAAAGTAGTTTTTAAGGCAATAGGCAACAAAATTTATATTATTTTTCGTGAACTAATAAAAATCATCGACCTCATTTAAGAATAAACTTAAAAATGTGTTATTGCATATTACTTACAAACAATTAAGTGGAATAGTTATCAAATTAAAATGGTTTTGGTGACTAAAAGAGAGCAGAAAATTTTGAAAAACGTTAAAAATCTAACTACTATCAGGTATTGACTTACAGTGATCACTGAAAATGTCGTTACGAGATCCTCTGTCACAATTTTTTTTTGTTCACCATAAAGGGGTCAACATGTATAATTAAAAAAATCCATAGTAGGTACCGGTACAGGCAGCAAGAAAATTATCTGAACCTTTGAACTGTCCAAACAGGTTCAACATTTCCGCGTCTCTTTATTTTTTTGTTTTTTTTACGTAAATTGGTAACAATTGAAAGACTATTGGACAGTTATCAGTAAAATTCAGTCTTTGAAAAAGTGTTATCTAGATGCACGGATAACAAATTTGGGTCGACTACAAAAAATTAAATGGCCTCTCATTTTATTATTTTATAGCCTTAATTTTTTCAGTCAAACTAAAAACCAAATCAGGAATATCGAATTTTTAGGTTCTTGCGATTGTTATAATACATACTCGTAGGAAATGAAACTATTTTTTTTCGAATCAGAATCTGAAACGTCTACCTGTCTTTGGTTCTCTCACTTGGTGACATCGCTTCTCAAAATGTGTGTATAAACTAAAAATGTTCTTATAGGAAATTACTATTTTTCCGGATTTAAATCGCGTATTTTTGTTTTTTCAAACAAACCAACGTTTCGGGCCCTTTACAGGTCCCATGGTCATGGCTGATTGTTTGATAAAGCAATTTCAATCTGGAAAAAAAATAGTTTCATTTCCAATTAAAAAATGTTAGAAAACGGTTTTTTTATTTATTTGGAGGTTTGTTTTCTTCCGTATTTTGTATACTTTTATTTGCCAGAATAGGTGCAATAAATTCTGCAGGAATTAATTAAACTTAGGTACTTAGCAGATGGGCAAATATGAATTTCAAATTAAAGTAAATTGTTTTTTGTAAATTCTAAATATTCTTAATTTCTATGGAAGTAATGTGTGTAAAGCCATCTTGTCAATTGTAATTTAAAAATTCGTCTCTGAAATAATATATTTTGTTTTGTAATTTGTTGAAAATAATTTTGTATAAAGGTTGAAGCAGTTATTTTTATATTATTTTTTGGTTACGAGGTTGGTAGATAAAAATTGTAACTTTAAAAACAAAACCGCTCAAAAGTATGTGGAATTACATCTTTATTTAACCAATTTACCCACGAGAGTTTATTAATATTACATACTTACATGTGGATCCTACTACACTAAAAATTAAAAATATTAATTTGAAAAACTTCATTATAACGGTACTGCAAACACAAATGCAAATTACTAACTTCAAAAGAGTGACTCCAATATCGAGTATTTATACTGATCCGTTATCAAGTCCTATGTTCGCTAACCGTTGATTGGTTTGAAAAAAAAAAAACTAAATATAGGGAAACATATTTCACCTAAAGTTAGCGGTTGCATGAGAATTAACTGGGCATTCCAACCTATGAAACAATTGATCATTTGCTTCATGTAATTCGTACCTATAATTGTTCCTTGACTTTATTATTCCAAGAGTACAAAATACGTTAAGTAAAAATAAGTCCCATTGTCATCATAAACCCATTTATACGTCCTACTACTGGGCATGGGTCTCCAAGAAGAGGCCTTTTTCGATGTGCAACTTAACGATGTTTTCCTTCGCCGAAAAGCTCTTGGTAAATTCCATGCTTAAAAATAAAATGAATTACTAATTTTAACTTAATACTGCGTATTTTATTATATCTCGAAGGGGAAAATGAGCAATAATCGAACTCCACACCTAATAAACCAGTGATATTCGACTATGTTATGTAAGTTTGTAATTTGTTGAACTAATTACGAATGAAGAGAAGACTCAGGCAGATCACTGTGTTTTAAAGCTCAGAGTGTCACTGCAACTGTGCGTCCCGTCGCTGTTGTCATAAAAAAAACTTCAAAATAGGGGGAAGCATCAAATTGTCTGAATTTTTTTTGAGTTTACGTTGCGCCACTACTCCTACAATTGTGTACCGATTTTGTTGGAAACGGGGTACCGCGGTAGTGGTCACATTCAAATTTGAAAATATTAATCCTCTAAGGGTGGCAAAGTAGGGAATGAATCCGGTTTTATTGCATTTCAACCACTTTTCATTGTATGTATTCTTATTATACGAGAAGTATAAATAAACAAATACTTGTGTAAGAAGTTGCTCAGTTTAAAAAAAAACTGTAACGCAGTAATTATTATTGACTTATCGCCGTCTACTTACCTAGATTTTTAAAATTCTAAATTTTAGTCCAATTAGGCAAAATATCCTCAAACAATATCAAGGAAAAATAATTTAATTACTTATTTGCACTTCAGGGGCCAACCACCATTTTACGACTGCATTATCATAATGTGCGTGTGCAGTTTGCATGTGTTGTGTGAGCGCTACCAAGGAAAACCCGTTGCCGAGATAGCAAACATTTTTAAAAGTACCTATTATAACGCTTTGTTGCTAGCGCTTAATAATATATTAATAAGAATAAAATATTATACCGTGGTGAGAAACCAGTTACTAGACTATTAGATAATAAACACGAAAGTCAAAAAATTTACAGTAATAGTAATATTTTATAGGAAATGAAACTATTTTTCCGGATTTAAATCGCGTATACATATTTGTTTTTTCAAACAAACCGACTAGGTTTACCCATGATGACGAATATCGCAATGAAATGCTGCGAGCATGTCATGGATAAACCTACACATTCAATAAAGTTTGACAAACCCCAGGTCCTTGCAAAAGAAGTCCGTTATCTACCCAGGATGCTGCGAGAGGCCATTGAAATTAAAAAACATCCTAATTTCAACAGGGAAGATGGTTTCTCCGTACCACCAGTTTGGGATCCAGTATTTCCTCTAATGAAAAATCCCAAACAGACATAAGACTGCAGTACTAATTAATATGTTTTAGTTTATTCTAATTTCTATTAATAATTAATAATAAATTGAACTTAATAAAAATTAATTCAATAAAATAATTTGTAAAAATTAATATAGCGTAAATTGGAATGTTTTCTTTGTAAAATTAAAAATAAGGTATTTAATTAATAACTATTGTAACTATAGTGAAAAAAATAGGGTGATTTGCATCAATATTAGACATAACTGGTTGAAGACTGTACCACCTCAGTCAACCGTGACCACGGGACCTGTAAAGGGCCCGAAACGTCGGTTTGTTTGAAAAAACAAATATACGCGATTTAAATCCGGAAAAATAGTTTCATTTCCTATGTGTAACAATCGCGAAAAGCTAAGAACTCGATAAGTAATATTTTAGGCAATTTGATGGTCGAGAAACTAAAATGGGTACTTAGAATAGGCGAGAATCTAAAAAAGAAATATCAATCCATAGATATAGATTATAGTAGAAGAGTAAATTACAAATAACTTTTTTATAAAAGAAAACTGACCTCAAAAGTTCGTGGAATTGCATCTATTTGCCAAGTTTTATTGAAATCGGTTACCGGAAAGTGCGCGAAACCGGATTCATCCCCTAGTTTGCCACCCTAAGAGGTGGAATATTTTCTATTTTCTTCAAATTTAAATGGGGCCAATGTCGAGGTAGTCTCTCTCCAACAAAAAAGGATCATAAAAACCGGTTCACAAATGCCGGAGTAATTAAACATACACACAAAAAAATGCAATCGAATTGAGAACCTCCTCCTTTTTTGAAGTCTCCAAAATAATAATAAAAAGGCAATAAAATAAAAATAAAAATAAAATAATAAAATAATTTTTATTTCAGACCAAAGATCCATATTTTGTTAGTATACAAACATAATTCTTATTATCTAATGTTAGTAATTCTTATGATCTAATCTAACGTATGGTGCGTGTAGGAGCAGCCAGTATTTTACTACCGGGCTGTCCCACCGGTGCGCAACTGTCATAATATTAACTCTTTAGTTTCTAATGTCTATTTTGAACTTTA